TCATGGGGTGGTCGCGAGAGTGTCAGGGTAGGTGTCTAGCTGTTTCTGCTGGTTCAACCAAGGTGGAAAGTCCAGACACTACCTCCACCGTGCGCATTCCCCCCAAATACCTTGATTTAGCGCTCACGTTTTCCAAAACGCAGGTGACCAAATTACCACCTCATCGGGCAGGGGATTGCGCAGTAAACCTCCGGGTGGACGCTGTGCCTCCCAGGAGTCATGTGTATCCCCTGTCGCAGGCTGAAACGGAGGTGATGGAGACATACGTCTCCGAGTCCCTGCGCCAGGGGTTCATCCGTCCCTCCACTTCGCCCGCCTCCTCAAGTTTATTTTTTGTGAAGAAGAAAGACGGAGGTCTGTGCCCTTGCATTGATTACCGAGCACTGAACAAGGGGACAATACGTTATAGTTATCCTGTACCCCTCATACCATCTGTGATCGAGTCAATGCATGGGGCACGCTTCTTCACAAAATTAGATCTCCGGAGTGCGTACGACCTGGTGCGAGTCCAAGAGGGGGGCGAGTGGAAGATAGCATTCAGCACAACCCCGGGGCATTACGAATACCTGGTGATGCCGTACGGTTTGATGAATGCTCCATCCGTCTTCCAGTCCATTGTGATTGAGGTGTTTCGGGACATGCTTGGTCGTGGTGTAGTGGTCTACATCAATGACATTCTGGTCTATTCCGCTACGCGCGCCAAGCATTTGTCCCTGGTTCGGAAAGTGCTGGACCAACTGTTGGAACATGACCTTTATGCCAAGGCAGAAAAGTGTCTGTTTTTCCAACAGTCCGTCTCCTTCCTCGGATACCGCATTACAACCTCAGGTGTGGAGATGGAGGGAGATCGCATTTCAGCCGTGCGTAATTGGCCAACTCCAACCACGGTAAAGGAGGTGCAGCGCTTTATTGGCTTTGCCAACTACTATCAGAGGTTTATCCGGGGCTTTGGCAAGGTCGCAGCTCCCATCACCTCTCTGTTAAAGGGTGGGCCGTCCCGGCTCTGCTGGTCTGCTGAGGCTGACAGGGCCTTCAGTAACCTGAGGGGTCTGTTCACCTCGGCCCCGGTACTGGCCCTTCCCGATCCATCACTACCGTTCGTAGTGGAGGTGGATGCGTCCGAGGTAGGGATAGGCACTGTCCTATCTCAATGCTCGGGCACGCCACCCAAGCTCCGCCCCTGTGCCTTCTTCTCCAAGAAGCTCAGCCCGGCGGAGCAGAACTACGATGTTGGTGATCGGGAGCTGTTGGCTGTTGTCCGAGCCCTGACCGTGTGGAGGCACTGGCTCGAGGGGGTGAAACACACTTTCCTCGTCTGGAAGGACCATCGTAACCTGGAGTACATCCGGGCAGCGAGGAGGCTGAACCCTCGCCAGGCCAGGTGGGCCCTATTCTTCACTCGGTTTGATTTTACACTGTCTTAGATCCCGGGTACAAAGAACATGAAGGCAGACTCACTGTCATGGCTGTACGACACAGAGGAGAGGCTCATAGACAATACCCCCATACTCCCGGCCTCCTGCATTGTGGTGCCGGTAGTGTGGGCGATGGACGCGGACATAGAGCGGGCATTAAGCACAGAGCCATCTCCACCTCAGTGTCCAGCTGGGCTACAGTATGTGCCGTCTCTTGTCCATGACCGTCTGATTTATTGGGCACACACGTCCCCCTCCTCTGGTCACCCAGGTATCGGCCGTACAGTGTGCTGCCTGACCGGAAAGTACTGGTGGCCTACCTTGGCTAAGGATGTGAGGGTGTATGTCTCCTCCTGCTCGGTGTGCGCCCAGAGTAAGGCACCTAGGCACCTCCCAGCGGGTAAATTACAGCCCTTACCAGTTCCACAACAGCCATGGTCCCACCTGTGTATTGACTTTCTCACTGATCTTCCCCTCTTCCAGGGTAACACCCCCATCCTGGTCGTTGTGGACCGCTTTTCAAAAGCCTGCCGCCTCCTTCCTCTGCCCAGTCTCCCCACGGCCCTGCAGACTGCGGAGGCCCTGTTTACTCACATCTTCCGGCACTACAGATGTGCCAGAGGACATAGTGTTTGACCGGGGTCCCCAGTTTACATCTAGGGTCTGGAAGGCGTTCATGGAACGTCTGGGAGTCTCAGTCAGCCTGACCTCTGGGTTTCACCCCGACAGTAATGGGCAGGTGGAACGGGTGAATCAGGATGTGGGTAGGCTCCTGAGGTCTTACTGCCAGGACCGACAGGGCAGATTATGCCCAGAACTCTCTCCGCCACTCCTCCACTAACCTATCGCCATTTCAATGTGTTTTAGGTTATCAGCCGGTTCTGACACTGTGGCATCAGAGCCAGACCGAAGCTCCTGTGGTGGATGACTGGTTTCGGGGCGCGGAGGAGACGTGGAACGCTGCTCATGTCCACCTCCAGCGCGCCGTACGTCGCCAGAAGGCCAATGCTGACCGCCACCGCAGTGAGGCCCCGGTCTTGGTAACGGGTGATCGGGTCTGGCTCTCGACCCGGAATCTGCCCCTCCGCCTGCCCTGCCGGAAGCTGAGCCCGCGGTTTGTGGGGCTGTTCAAAGTCCTGAGGAGGATAAACGAGGTTACATATAGGTTATTAATCCCTCCAGATTACCGTATTAACCCCTCGTTCCATGTGTCTATCCTCAGGCCGGTGGTGGCTGGTCCGCTCCAGGAGTCTGAGGTGCGGGAGGTTCCTCCGCCCCCTCTGGACATCGAGGGAGCCCCGGCGTACTCCGTCCGTTCCATCCTGGATTCAAGGCGTCGGGTGGGGGGCCTTCAGTACCTCGTGGAGTGGGAGGGGTACGGTCCGGAGGAGCGGTGCAGGGTTCCGGTGAGGGATATCCTCGATCCCTCTCTATTGCGGGATTTCCACCGTCGCCATCCGGGCTCGCCCTGCTCCGCGTCCTCCTGGCCGTCCCCGAGGCCGGTGTCAGCGCACTGCTGGAGCTGCTGGTCAAGGGGGGGGGGGGGGGTACTGTCACAACTTCCTCCGAAGCTGCCTCCTCTCCTTGTTCCGTCATCACCGGCCTTCTAGCCACTGCCGCTCCTCATTTCATCATTCCATTTGTTTTGTCTTGTTTATTACACACACCTGGTTCATATCCCCTCATCAGTACATGTATAAGTGTTCCCTCTGCCCCCTTGTCTTTGAGTGTGATTGTTTATTGTGCAGGTTAGAGAAGCTCGGTGGAGCTCCTTGTATTTTGAATCGCCAGGATATTTCCCTGTGTGCCTTGTTGTTTCCAGTGCACCTGTTTTGCGCACTGGACTGTTTTGACGCATTACTGTGTAACTCTGTGTTTCGGAATAAATCCTGTTATTCTGTGATTTACCCTCCTGCGCCTGACTCCTTCGAAATCACTCAACACAGACATGATGGTATAGCAGGAAGATCAGAATGCCGTAAATAAAGAGGTTGTGAGTTCAAATCCCAGGTGAGGACATGTTGAATATTAATTACTGTATAAATGAACATGCACAATGTAATCATGTAAGTTGAAAACATTGTATGTTATTAAAAGCACTGTGTGTAACTAGTTCCGCAGCCTTTTTTAGGTAAGATGCCCAAATAATAATTTCTAGTTAAATGAACATATGAGACAATTTGAGCAAACACATCATTTTAAGTCGACAGATTTTTTGCCTACGTTTTCTCACGTTAGAGCTAAGTTAAGGACATCTTTTGTTCAGGTAACACTTGGACCGAAAAGTTGAGTAAACAAAAAAAAGCATGTGGAACCAGTTACTTAATAATAATTAGTTGAAACAACTAGATTGTTTTTTACAGTGGGCACTGTTTGACTGAACATTTCGAAAGGCTTTCCCCCAAAATCTTCCCAATGAAGTGTTGGCTGCACAGTAGGCCTACCTGGCAGAATGATGATTTGTATCTTAATTTTTATTTTATTTTTTAAAATGTATTTGTATCAATCGGCAGGGCATTTGTCTAGCAGATTCTGCATTAAATGTTGGCTGCAAAGTAGGCCTACCTGGTAGAATGATATCATGATGATTTGTATCAATCAGGAGTGCATTTGTTTTGCAAATTCTTCCATCACATGTAGCCAAGGTGTAAAAATCTGCCTTTCTGCCCCTGAGAAAGGCAGTTAACCCCCACAACAACTGCTCCCGGGCGGCGATTATGTTGATTAAGGCAGCCCCCCGCACCGCTCTGATTCAGAGGTGTTGGGTTAAATGCGGAAGACACATTTCGGTTGAATGCATTAAGTTGTGCAACTGACTAGGTATCCCCTTTCCCTACATTGTACAGTTCAAAAACATCGCTAGCCAAACAATATTTTGCTAGGTGCGCAATTGAATGAAAGTGCACCCGATTACAAATGGTCTCCTGATGTGGTTTAAGCATTGTTGTGGACATCTCTATTTTAAAAAAGTGTGACTTTGAGAGTGAAAACCTGGGAAAAAAAACTATAGGAAAACATATAATCTTTTACACCTTTCCATCACCGAGCAGGCAGTTTGGGAAATTTTGGGCAACATTAGAGTATACCCACTTCTCCAGGCACCACTACACCACTGGATACATAAAGACACTTGGGTAACACTTTACTTAAAACATATACTAGGTATACTGTAGGTATAATGCATTATAATATAATAGGTATAATGCATTACTATGCAGTTAGGATGCATCGTGAGACTTGTCATGAGCATCTAAGACCCTTACAATGTCATGTAATCATCTCATAATGATCCGTAGAAAATAACAACTCATTTGAGACAGGTGAAAATGTCATGCATAGAGAGACATAACATATTATAAATAGTCATAAGTCAAACCATTATACCTGGATGCTGGATGTAAAGTGCTATCGACACTTAATACAATTGGTTTAGTGTCCTGAGTGGTATGGACATGAGTTCAGACAGTCACTTACTCCCTGCAAAAAATACCATTTTATTTAGTCTTGAGTTATAGTGATATGTCATATTAGTTCAGGAGGTTTGTTGTGTATCTATCACTTGTTGGATCTAGACCTCAAACATACCTCTCTCATGCGTGACTTCCACACCTCATCAGAGTCCATTAGCAGGGATTCAGTGGCGTTTTGAAGCTGCTGGGACACTGACGTGGCACTGGGGGCAGGGCACTGCCACTTAGGCAGGGCAAGGATGGCCAGAGTGGGGGTGATGAAGCTAAAGGTACCCCCCTGGAGGATTGGCAACCTGTGGAAAGAAAGAGGCAACCAGTAGAATGCATGGGTTAAGGATGGAATGGTCTGGTTCACCTGCCAGTTGTCTGCCTGGTAGCAAATACGATTAAAAGAGCACAACTCCCCTGGGCTCTTTAGATGAGTTTAGCTAACCTTTGACCTAAAGCTGTGTAGATGCAGATTGTCAAAGAAGCTCAAGTTAACTCGATCACGACATACCCAATATTATCCCAATGTCGTCTCAATGGTCACGGAATGATCCCTGATACCTGGAGCCAAGTAATGATGTATAGTGACGATAAACTTAATTGAAATGGGTAGGTGGTTGGGTAGCTAGTTAGGTAGTTAGTTGGGTAGCTGGTTGGGTAGCTAGTTGGGTAGCTGATTGGGTAGCTGGTTGGGTAGCTGGCTGGGTAGCTAGTTGGGTAGCTGGTTGGGTAGCTGATTGGGTAGCTGGTTGAGTAGCTAGTTGGGTAGCTGATTGGGTAGCTGGTTGGGTAGCTGATTGGGTAGCTAGTTGGGTAGCTGGTTGGGTAACTAGTTGCCTATTTGCCTGATTTCTTCCACTGGATGCATCCCTGGTCCAGTGGTTTTAGCCTTATACTACCAACCCATTTTGATCTTACAACAGTTGAGATACACTGAGTGTACAAAACATTAAGAACACCTGCTCTTTCCATGACAGACTGACCAGGTGAATCCAGGTGAAAGCTATGATCCCTTATTGATGTCACTAGTTAAATCCACTTAAATCAGTGTAGATGGAGGGGAAGAGACAGGTTAAAGAATGATGTTTATGCCTTGAGACAATTGAGACATGGATTGTGTATGTGTGCCATACAGAGGATGAATGGGCAAGACAAAAGATTTAAGTGCCTTTAGTAGGTTCCAGGCGCACTGGTTTGTGTCAAGAACTGCAACGCTACTGGGTTTTTCACACTCAACAGTTTCCCGTTTGTATCAAGAATGGTCCGCCACCCAAAGGATATCCAAACAACTTGACATAACTGTGGGAATTATTGGGGTCAACATGGGCCAGCATCCCTGTGGAACGCTTTCAACACCTTGTAGACTTCATACCCTGACGAATTGAGGCTGTTCTGAGGGCAAAAAGGGGTGGTGCAACTCAATATTAATAAGGTGTTCCTAATGTTTTGTACACTCAGTGTATATTCAGTGTCATTAACTGTATACTACTAGAGGGGACACTTATTAGCTCAAACCAGCTTAAATAACTAAGGTAGCTATTGTGTTATGTTGATGATAAATAACTGCTGGGCTGTGATAGACTAATCTGGGTGATTGTCTAGTCTTATAGTGATATATTGCCATACTGACCAATCCCACACCTGGGCTCTTTTGCTCTAACTCATGGCAACTCAACATAAGGCTTTGAACAGGAATTCTTAAACTGTGGAAGGCCCAGGCCCTAACCCTGTCCTCACCATACTGTACATTAAGGCGTTAAGCTGTCTGGAACTTTACTTTACAGATATTTCCAGAAGGATTACTTAGATGGATGGCGAAGATAGAGAAGGATTTATGTTAGGTTCAGATGTGTGTCTACTCAGGCATACATGCACACACGCTTGTCTATGTGTTCTTCTAAGCCTCTGTGGGTTTAAATGTGTTTGCATTTAAACATCCTTGTGCCGATACACTGAGTGTACAAAACATTAAGAACACCTTCCTAATATTGAGTTGCACCACCTCAACCCCCCCCTTTTGCCCTCAGAACAGCCTAAATTCGTTGGGGCATGGAGTCTACAAGGTGTCAAAAGTGTTCCACAGGGTTGTTGGCCCATGTTGACCCCAATGCTTTCCCCAGTTGTGTCAAGTTGGCTGGATGTCACACAGGAAACAGTTGAACGTGAAAAACCCAGCAGTGTTGCAGTTCTTGACACAAACCAGTACGCCTGGCTCCTACTACCATACCCCGTTCAAAGGCACTTAAATATTTTGTCTTGCCCATTCACCCTCTGAATGGCACACATACACAATCCATGACTCAATCGTCTCAAGGCTTAACAATCCTTCTTTAACCTGTCTCCTTCCCTTCATCTACATGGATTGAAGTGGATTTAACAAGTGACATCAATAAGGGATCATAACTTTCACCTTGATTCAGCTGGTCAATCTAAGTAATGGAAAGAGCAGGTGTTCTTAATGTTTTGTACACTCAGTGTATATGTTTGTTCCCTTATGTGAAAGTTAAGCTGTTAAGGAAATGCCAAGAGGACTAGCTACCTGGTTCCGATAGTGGTCTGAAGCAGTGTGCACACACCCGACACAAAGAATATGGTGGAGATGAGTTGGCTCTTGGCGGCATTGTTGTCTCCAATACAGAGAGGCTCGGCCAGGATCAGAGGCACTGCAATGATGCCACCGAATGCCAGGATGTAATGCTGTTGACAGGAGCAGAAGAAAGACGTGTACATGAAATGTTACGGTCCAAGTCACAGTATATTGTTACAGAACAACACCTGAGAGACACATTGACATTTAATTGATATCACACCCAAATATAAATGTAAAAATACACTGTTCTAATACAAGGCGGCAGGTAGCTTAGTGGGTAAGAGCGTTGTGGCAGTAACAGAAAGGTTGCTGGTTCTAATCCCAGAGCCGACTAGGTGAAAAATCTGTCGATGTGCCATTAAGCAAGGCACTTAACGCTAATGTAAGTTGCTCTGGATAAGAGCTTCTGCTAAACATGTAAAATGTAATGATTAGGCTATATTCAGCCTTACTCTTTTTTCAGTCCGAACTGTTAAAGGGATAGTGATGAAGCCCTTTTTCTACTTAACTAAAGTCAGATGAACTCATGGATACCATTTATATGTTTGTGGTCCATGTAGACATCCAGCCATTGCGCTCACCCTAGTTAGCAATGGCTCACGAAACTACCTCTAACGTCCTTCAAACTGCACTCAATCAGAGACATAAAAATGGTATCCATAAGTTCATCTGACTCTGGGTAAGTAGAAAAAGGGCTTAATTGCCTAAATCTATCACTATCCCTTTAAAGCTCTTCACAGGTTTTGGTGGACAAAACCACATTTCACACATCATTTTCACATAATGCATTAATTGAAGTTGGATAACACCATTTTGGTCCAGGTCTTAGCTGGCCCTCCTCTTTTCAGTGCTAGCCTGATAAATCACCACAAACACCTGCCTGACATTACAAACACATTGTTGAAATCAGCAGTGTGAAAACATATTTGCTGAGTGACTTCTACAGAATATGCATGGTCCTTTAATTGTCCCATCAGCGCCTCTGTCACTTACTTGACATGTTAGCCCTGGGCTTTCAGTGCACAGGTGTGCAAATGCTTGTGTTATACTAGGCTAAACAAGCTAGGCTTGTCCCACCTAAGGTTAAGGATCAGGGCCCCTTTTGGGGGCTCTAGCCTTTTGGGGGCCCCACCTCATGGCAAAACATTTTAGTGGCCTCCCTCTTGACAGTGTAGAGAAAACATTTACATTTTACAGTTAATGTCCTGCAATTCTACACCTTTTGTAATGACTTATGCCATGTTAATATGATATGAGAGAGAATGACTAATAAAATCAATGTGGGCCCCCTGGAGGTCTCTAGCCTTTTGGGGGCCCCACCTCACTATCCAGTTCCAGGCATAAGCAACATAATCGGTCGCTTAGGGCCCAAGTTGGGGTCTCAACTTAAGAAGTATTATTATTAAGTAAGAATACACCAGGTGCAATTTCAAAATGTGGCAGTTTTTGTCTTGTTATGTCAGTCACTGACAGACTCAATTAGCCATGTCAGCTAACAATTTTTAGATTGGTCGTTAGTCTAGCCAGCTATCTAAACTTGTATTAACCATGGCCGAATACCATATTGATTTTATTAGTCATTCTCTGTCATATCATATTAATATGGCATAAGTCATTACAAAAGGTGTAGAATTGCAGGAAATTAGCCAAAAAAAACATTTTTGCTCTCTACCCCATGGCAAAATGAGTAGAATTGCAGGACATTAACTGTAAAACGTACATTTTTGACACAGTGCAGTGGGAAAATAGTTGATAATTAGTCGATATTAGTCGATAATGACGTTTGGTTTAAAAGGATAGGTCAGGATTTTGGCAATGAAGCTACATTAACAGCAACAACAACAAAAAGTTAAGCACAGAAAAAGTTGTTAAATTACTAATAGGCCTACAGCTAATAGAACTACTGCTACAATTAATAATACAAGTTACTACATACATACAGTGGGGTCCAAAATTATTGACACCCTTGATAAAGATGAGCAAAAATGATGTATAAAATAAATATTTCAAATACTGAGATATATTGTATGCTAAACATATATATTACTTTATACTAATATAATTGCTCAGAGATCTTGTTTAACAAGTAATATTTATTTTATCAAAAAGGTAGGGTTCAAAAGGTAGGGTTCAAAAGGATTGACACCCCTGTTTTCAATACCTTTCAATACCTCACCTTGCGAGGATAACGACACCGATACTTTTTCTAAAATGTTTTATGAGTTGGAGAACACATTGGGAGGGATCTTAGACCATTCCTCCATACAGAGTCCTTCCAGATCCTTGATATCCTTTGTCTGTGCTTATGGACTGCCCTCTTCAATTCAATGGGTTTCAAGCCCGGGAACTGAGATGGCCATTGCAAAATGATGATTTTGTTGTCAATTAACAATTTCTTTGTGGATTTTGATGTGTGCTTGGGGTTATTGTCTTGCTAGAAGATACTGTTCACTTGCGGCCACATTTCAGCCTCCTGGCAGAGGCAACCAGATTTTTGGTTAAAATGTCCTGGTACTGGGTAAAGTTCATGATGCCGTTGACCTTAATAAGGGCCCAAGGTCTAGTGGAAGCAAAATAGCCCCATAACATAAAATATCCACCACCATATTTTACAGTAGGTATGGGGTTCTTTTCTGCTCATGCATTCTCATTTCGATGCCAAACCTGCCACTAGTGAGTGTAACCAAAGAGCTCTATTTTCATGTTGTCCAACAAATGTAAACACCTGGACTTCACTAAACAGCATTGGCACTTGGATTGGAACTGGTGCTTTGGTCAGATGACTTGAAAATAGAGCTCTTTGGCAACGCACACCAGTTTTGGGTTTGGGGTCGAAATGAGAATGCATAAGTGGGAAATGGAACCCTATTCCCTATATAGTGCACAACTTTTGACCATCAGTTATCATATTAAAAACTGTAAAAATGTGCCTCCACCTTATGGCAAAATGTGTAGAATTGCAGGAAATAGTGGCCCCCACCCACATAAAAAGTTACCCATCCCTGCTGTAAGTACAGAAATTTAGTTAACAAAGTTATGCAATACCCAATTCCCCTGTGTGAAAAAGTAATTGCCCCCTTACACTCAATAACTGGTTGTGCCACCTTAAGCTGCAATGACCGCAACCAAATGCATCCTGTAGTTGTTAGTCAGTCTCTCAAATCGCTGTGGAGGAATTTTAGCCTCAGCGACATTTGTGGGTTTTCAAGTATGAACTGCTCGTTTCAAGTCCTGCCACAACATCTCAATTGGGATTAGGTCTGGACTTTGACTAGGCCATTCCAAAACTTCAAATTTGTTGCTTTTCAACAATTTTCATGTAGATTTGATTGTGTGTTTTGGATCATTGTCTTGCTGCATGACCCAGATGTGCTTCAGCTTCAGCTCACAGACAGAAGGCCTGACATTCTCCTGTAGAATTCTATGATACAGAGCAAAATTCATGGTTCCTTCTATTAAGGCAAGTCATCCAGGTCCTGAGGCAGCAAAATATCCCCAAACCATCACACTACCACCACCATGCTTGACCGTTGGTATGAGGTTCTTACTGTGGAATGCAGTGTTTGGTTTTTGCCAGACATAATGGGACCCACCTCGTCCAAAAAGTTGACTCAAGTTTGCCCAAAAAGCGTCTAGAAGCACCTGGATGATCATCAAGTCTCTTGGAAGAATGTTCTATGGACAGATGAGTCAAATGTATAACTTTTTGGACGACATGTTTGTAGCTCAAACCATTCTGGCTACAGAATGAAGATCCGGCCCCGGGCTTCTTCGGGATCCACCCTTGTCTCACAAACACTGGATGCAGAAGAAATAGAAGAAATAGACGAATCCAATGGTACAACCTAGAAGTCTGTAGCTCAAACATACAATGTTTAAAAGGGGTTAATAGTCTTAAATAACTCAGGCGCAATGGTGGGACTTATTAATTAAGATATGGGCTGTTTCCTTTCCATTATGTTTTTTACCTTTGAGGAATGGTGACATCAAATATGGGGTGACTTTGAAGTGGGTAAGGAAAGACAGAGAAGGAGTGGGTGAGATGGGGACTTACAGTATATGACTGCTAGGAACCCGCATGCAGAACTATTTCCAAGAAAGGCTAGATGGGAAATTGTTATAGGAGGGAGACTTAACTCTAGACTAAGAGATATTTATACAGGGGAAGAGGGAGTAGGTAAAGGATGTACATTTACATTTTAGTCATTTAGCAGACGATCTTATCCAGAGCGACTTACAGTTAGTGTATTCATCTTAAGATAGCCAGGTGAGACAATCACATATTACAGTCGTAGTAAGTACATTTTTTCTCAATAAAGAAGATGTCTGGTTCACAGCAGGTTTGGGGTCAATCCAATTTAAATTCAGTCAATTCAGGTAGTAAATTGACATTCCAATTCTAATTTTCCTCACAACTTCTTAATTTTCAATTGGAATGGGTATTTCAGTTCACGTCCTGAATTGACTGAATTAAAATGGAATTGACCCCAACCCTGGTGGATAACACAGGGTACAACCTGCATTGTGTTGTTCCTTTACCTGGAAGCCCAGCAGGATGCAGAGATACCATGGTGGCCTATCATTGATGGAGTAGACCAGATCCAGGCCTTTGTTCTGGTCCTCCAGACCTTCTTCCAGGCCCTCTGTGTGAGACCCATCCATGTCAACCCTCTCTGACTGACCACTGTCCGGGCCCTGTGGAGGAAAACAACTGTCTTTAGAGGGGAAGTTGAAATGTGCGGTTTTGTTCCTTGTTCCATATAGTTCAGCTTTAAAGGGGCAATCTCCAGTTTAAACAATAACAAACTATTTCCCACCACTATTTTGGTAAAAAGCTGAGGGATAGGGCTGGAGAAATGTAACCACTCTCAAATTCATAGACAGAGCTATGGGTGTAAGAACTGACCATCAATGATATCAAAATGATAGTTTTAACTAAGTTTTGAGGCTATACGGTATATTTACAAACATTGGAGTAAAACAAGCTTATATTTTGGTATTTATAAGTTATATTCTTCAAGAATCAATGGGTAAATATCATTAATTTATAAGTCCAAATATGGATTTAGAAACTGCAGGTTGCCCTTTTAAGTCAAAATCTGTAGTAGAACACGAAAGCTGATGATGTTAAATCTCTACTTTTGAGTGGAATTCCTTTTTTAAATTGGATTTTGCGATATATACTTATATACTGTACATACTTACATAAGCTTACATGTTTTGACCTAAAAATAACCCTCTGAGGCTACCCATCAAGCTAGAAAAATGGACATCAAAGTAAATTATTATTATTATCATAAGAAATTCCCAAAACAATCTAAAAACCTAAAATTCTTGATGAAGTAGTTTTCTGAGAACAACAGAACAGAAACAGTCCAACTACAACCACACAGGATTGTGTTAAATCCCTTTAACATTCTTCTTTGATGTCAAATTCTAAAAGAACAGCATGCCAACGACAACAAAAAAAAACAAGAAAACAAGAAACATCTGCCTGTGAAGGAAGTCTTAGTGGTATTCCTACCATGCCCAGTGATTTTTATTTTACCGCAGGGAAAAAGGGTATGCCTAATATACGCTAGTGCTACTGTGTAACGGCCACAGTGAATGTTCAATCATTGAAATGACCCTTAGGAATCCATTTCCATGTCTCCATTATGGCCTGAGCTATGGATTCCCAGTCCCATCTTTTGTCCCATGCACCCTGTGACCGTGAAAGGGAAATCTATACCGAGTCTGATGGGAGCATGTGATAGGTGATATGGTAAAAAATGGCACCGGTGTGGGCAGCTAGTAATCCATTCTGACGGTAAACAGGGCCAAATAGTCCACAAACGCTGCTTGAAACCAGTCAGTGTCCTAAAGATAAAGAGGTCAGGCCCATGTTAACACGCATCCCACAGGCCATATTCCATTCCATATGCTGTGTGTGTTCCTTTGACTGTTTGAGGTAATTCACTATGGATTAAAACTTGTTTAAAAGAGGGATTGCTTGGTTGACTGAGCTCAAGTAGTATTGTTTAATCAGGCAAGAAGTTGATTTTAGCAATTATAAAGTAGCAGGTATAGATATCCCTTGCATTGTAGAGACACACACATGATGACGCTTATGTTCAGTCATACACCTTATTTGTGTCTACAAACACTTGTGTAAAAATGAAATGCGGGCAGCTATTCCTAACATAGCTACCTTCATCATGACACCTAATCCCTCATTGAGGTAAGGTGAATGATACATATGAAATGTGTGGTATGAATACGTTTTCACTGGCAAGAGGTGGAGAGGAAGCAGGTATTGGGGGAAAAGGTTAAAGCAGGAATGGATAGCAATGTGTTCAACAGGTACAGAAATCTTACAACTGTCACAAAAAAAGCCTTAAAATCCACTCTGAAAGCCTTTAATCTCAGAACAGTACCTTCGATGCCTCATCACATGAACAACAGTCATAGAATTCAACAGGACTTCTCAGAACCAATCCATGTGTCTTTGCTTGTTTGAGCCACAGAAGGTAGACTTATCCAACAGCTGGTTTCAGCGATATGTGCTCAGGCTACTATCTGCTAATCTTTTGCTGCCACCTAATGGATTTCCCCTCCACTTTCCTTTAAATGTGGATCACCATGTGCGCCATCCCATAACAAGGGATGGGCAACTCCAGTCCTCGGGGGCCGGAGTGGTGTCACACTTTTTCCCCATCCCTAGCAAATACAGCTGATTAAACGAATTGCATTTTAAACTGAAGATCATGATTAGTTGATTATTGGAGTCAGGTCTGTTAGCTGGTGCTGGGGATGGGGCAAAAATTTGACACCAATCAGGCCCACGAGGACTGAAGTTGTCCATCCCTGCCATAGACATTGATAGTAATGTTGTAATAGCTTAAATGAAGCGAGCTTTTCACTGCATGTGGGTGTGTAGCCCACTGTACATCATGCCACAGAGCATGATGGCCCTCTAAACCCAAATCATAACCAGATGGCCTCCCACTAGTACTTCCTTCACTTTCCTCATTCCATTTTAGAAGTATAACAGGCCAGTCTTGGCAATCAGTTACTACATTGCCACCTTACAAACACAACCAACTGTGGCTTTTCAACAACATTATGTATGGAAAATTACATTACATGACCAAAAGTATGTGGACACTTGCTCGTCGAACATCTCATTCCAAAATCATGGACATTAATATGGAGTTGGTCCCCCCTTTGCTGCTATAACACCCTCCACTATTCTGGGAAGGCTTTCCACTAGATGTTGGAACATTGCTGCGGGGACTTGCTTCCATTCAGCCACAAGAGCATTTGTGAGGTCGGGCACTGATGTTGGACGATTAGTCCTGGCTCGCAGTCAGCGTTCCAATTCATCCCAAAGGTGTTTGATGGGGTTGAGGTCAGGGCTCTGTGCAGGCCAGTCAAGTTCTTCCACACTGATCTCAACAAACCATTTCTGTATGGACCTCGCTTTGTGCACAGGGGCATTGTCATGCTGAAACAGGAAAGGGACTTCCCCAAACTGTTGCCACAAAGATAGAAGCACAGAATTTTCTAGAATGTCATTGTATGCTGTAGCGTTAATATTTTCCTTCACTGGAACTAAGGGGCCTAGACCGAACCATGAAAAACAGCCCCGGACCATCATTCCAGAGAATGCGTTTCCACTGCTCCAGTGTAATGGTGGCGAGCTTAACACCACTCCAGCCGACGCAATGAAGTGCTGACGTTGCTTACAGAGGCAGTTTGGAACTCGGTAGTGAGTGTTGCAACCGAGGACAGACAATTTTTACTCGCTACGCGCCTCAGCACTCGGAGGTCCCATTCTGTGAGCTTGTGTGGCCTACCACTTCATTGCTGAGCCATTGTTGCTCCTAGATGTTTCCATGTCACAATAACAGCACTTACAGTTGACCGGGGCATCTCTAGCAGGGCAGAAATTTGACGAACTGAGTTGTTGGAAAGGTGGCATCCTATGACGGTGCCACGTTGAAAGTCACTGAGCTCTTTAGTAAGGCCAGTAAGGTGAATGTTTGTCTATGGAGATTGCATGGCTGTGCGCTCAATTTTATACACCTGTCAGCAACGGGTGTGGCTGAAATAGCCGAATCCACTAATTTGAAGGGGTGTCCACATACTTTTGCATATATAGTGTATTATGGATATTTTTTTTTTTTTTTTTTTTAAGTAGACAAGATCACTTCCATTTCTGAGCACAGCATTTAGTTCAGAACAGATGTGGAATGCAACCGTTACATTACTGTTTAATGCATCATGCTGTTGCTGAATTGATAATGAATACACAATATTTGTTCGTTCAGCACTTTGGGATTTGGTGTCTGTCCACCGGACCATTACATTCTAAATGCTGGCATCTATCTGGGACACACAAACTGTTGGTTCAGATACACCTTCCACTTGTTGTCATGAAGTCGGAAAAACATTTAATGCCTTAACCCTCCCGTTGTCCTAGGGTCAAAATGACCCGCCACTGTGTTGAACCAACTTTATTTAATTTTTATATTTTGGGGATCATTTGTGAGAAGGAGGCAGTGAGACTTTAAAGAAAGTATCACTGCCTCCTTCTCACAAATGATCCAAAAAATATAACAATTAAATAAAGTTGGTTCAACACAGTGGCGTGTCATTTTGACCCTAGGACAACGGGAGGGTTATTAATTCAAACATTATCTCCAGACAGTCATGGACTCTAGTCATGGTCTCAATGTTTATCTTACACTTGTGAGGCTTGTACATTTCTACTCTGTGAGATTTTGATCCTTGTAAAAATATTTTACCACATGTTATTCATTCACCGCAAAGTCTTTATCTGGTCAAAATGCAGCAACAAAAGTAATTGTTGGAAATACTGCAGTAGAGATACAGTGTAGGAATTAGCAAACAATCTTCAACGTATACATTTCTTTCTTTTTTTTTTACTCAAATGATTGTATAATAATGTGCTATTAATTTGATTTATTGATTTTTTAGCTGATTTGATTTGACTATTTTAGGGTGTGTTACCTGGTCTTAGGGTTATTGACAACTGTGGGATTTGCCTGTTCTTCGCATTTTCCTAACTCAATGTGCTGGGAAAATGCCACGACATGAAGAAAGATGAATAACACTGCAGTTTAGTCCACCACAGTTGAATGCATTATATTGAATTAGCAATTAAATAAACTCATACATTTATCATAAACGTCTGCTTTGGCTCAGCCAATTGTTTCTAAAATGATTTTGTGCAGGCAGCTGTTGTTTTGGTTGTCTTGTTTGCTATGATAGGTTGGGGAGAAATATGCTTCGGGGGGTGAAAATAAAGTCTCAATCCAGCTGTGTACACTGAGCGCCCCATTCAGTCTGAAATAAATAAAAAATAGTAATTCAGCAACATTTACTTAAGCCCCATAACTATAATGCATTATTATACGAATATAAAACATTTTAAGACTTGTTTGTCATAAGTACGTACAGTACAACCCCTTTATCATGTCTTATTATCATCTTATAATCATCCTTATAACAGCTGGGGATATTGAATCGTTTCATTTTACCGTACAAAGGCAATACATGTAGCCGGCTATACACTGGTATCCCCAGTGGACCCGTTCGTACATAAAACCTTCTCCATTCAGGCTGCAAAGGCATCGATTTCATCTTTAACTCAATATAATGGCGAGGAATGCTAGTCCCGGATGCGGCGTATCGCGTTCAGCCAATCAGGTTGCAGCAGTCTGAAGTTTACCCCTGGCTGAACACAATGCGCAACATCATTAGCCACGTTAGCATGGTGGTGGAAAAATGTGTTTCATAAAAAAGTACGCACATTTTCCCAGTTTTTTCCTTCTTTTCGCCATTAAATCGAGTTAAGGAGGAAATCAACGCCTTTGCAGCCTGAGTGGAGGTTTTATGTACGAACCGGCTCACGGGGGATACCAGTGTATAGCTGGCTGCATGCATTGCCTTTGGATGGTAAGATGAAACGACTCAATATAGCCTTAATTCATCCTGGCTAACTGCCTTTCTGAGTCAGTTTTCTAGACGTTGATTACCATTAAGGCTTTGCAGTGGGAGACAGAACTTATGCATATAAATAAATAAAAATGCCAATTGTATGGGAGAATATTTAAATTATTCCTTAGGAGTCAAACACGTAGTTTATAGGTTATAACTGTGTTATTATCATTTTAATGTCATTTCTTGTCATTTCTATATATATTGGTTTTGCATTGCATGACTGTTTTTGATAACGACATATCTATGCTACATGCTGTGGAATCAAACAATGTTTTCCATTGATCTACCCAGTCTGTTCAGTATGCTCTGGGCAAATTACATTCCACAGTAGCTTAAATTCAGCTCTAGTTTCTAAGATGAATAACTCAGCCCTTTGTTTTCCTCCTGTGCAGAAGTAAACCAGCATGAATACAGTTGGGAAAAGTTCCCACATCCCACTAAAATGATGTTCATTTCCCCTCTCGATTGAGACCCAACATCATGAAATTCAGCATAAGAAACCAAAGATTTCAAGGAACCAATGAACACTGAACATACATTTGAGAGTATGTGATACTTAATGCGGTGTGATTTGGCAGTTCTTCAGTTGTTTTGAGAGAGTGAAGCAGCACTTACCCTAAAGGCAGGGTTGACCGTTCCCTGATCGCTCAATCCTATCTCAACTTTGGGGTCCTGGGTAAGATGCATGCTGGTGCGTAGGCACAGAGACAGTGGTGGCTGGACGCTGAGGCTCACAGGTACCCCTCAAACTTCTCAAAACGCTACACACTCACTGGAAAACGCTGAGAAACTCTGGACCTTAGGAAAGCATGAAGGGCCACGTCACGTTGTCAAGGAAACCACAGCTTAATCACTAGCAAAAAGTTGTTGTATAACCTCCAAACTTTTTGTTGTTTTACCCCCTGACCTTTTGTCATGTGTCTGTTGTGATGTTGTAGTGGGTAATATTTGTTATATATGCATATTATATACACCTCACATGCGCCTCATAATAAGACTATGCAATTAATATGTTAACAAAGTCTATTAAATTAATAATCTGACTCCATAAGATGATTTAGCAATATGCAAGATACTATAGTTGAGTTACAGTAATAGGCAATCAAGAAATGTCTGAGAATGGAATTCTAAATACAATTGTATTTAATTAATTTGTAAATTGAATGATTACATTTACAAGGTATAAAGCTTAAGTTACAAAGCATTAACATGCATTAATAAGCATGGTCAGAGAGGGAGAGAGACAGAAACCATGGCTTGAGCCATGGCCCATAGAAAGAAAGAAAGAAAGAAAGAAAGAAAGAAAGAAAGAAAGAAAGAAAGAAAGAACGTTTCTCACCACAGCAGTTCAGGAACATAAAAAGAGAACGATACAATGAATCTGAGACCTTTACAACATCTGAGTTGTTTGGATAAAAAATCTGAGTTGTTGACCAATAGCATTACTGTAAAGTTAACCTCCAATCAGATATTAGACCTACAGACCTGTAAAGACAACATAACCTCTGCTACCCAGGGTGTGACAATGGGGGCTGGTGAGATCAACACTGATGAATCCTTGCACACAGTTGATAAGAGTCACTTCGGGGCTGGGCTGTGTAATGTCTCTGCAGACCAAACCCCTTCCTTTAATTCATTGATGTGAATGGAGATGTTGACACACTATACACAGGCACATGCTAACACACGCCAGTGTGCGCGCACACACACACACACACACACATGCACACAGTCTTGAACAACTAACTTTGTGGGGACACACAATTCAGTCCCATTTAAAATCCTATTTTCCCTATCCCCTAACCCGTACCCTTAGCCTAACCCGTACCCTAACCCGAAAACCTAACCTTAACCCTAACCCTAAACCTATCCCTAGCTCCTAAGCCTAACCCTAAAACTAACCCTAACACTAATTCTAACCCTAAACCCTCTAGAAATAGCATTTGACCTTGTGGGGACCAACAAAATGTCCCCAGTTGGTCAAATGTTTGTTTGTTTACTATTCTTGTGGGGACTTCTGGTCCACACAAGAATAGTTAAACACGTCCACACATACCATACACACATTGAAATAACATTGAACTATTTGCATGGACTCTCTCCACACACACACACACACACACACACACACACACACACACACACACACACCACACACAGTCATAATTGCTGTTACTACTTACTATGCATTTTAAGCTGCTCAATTAAGACACTATCAAGTCACCAACTTGATAGTGTCACTAACCAAGTTACGACCGCCCCCAGCCTCTGGAATGCACTCCCAGACCACCTGAAGGCACCACCGAGTCTGGGCTCCTTTAAAACGAGCCTAAAAACCTTTCTCTTTAGGAAGGCCTTCTGTCGATAGCTGTGCTCCTTGGTGTCCTCGTCCCTTGTAGCGTCAGCTGGGTTCTTTGTGTCAGTTGCCGTGTCTAGCGGCATCCATTTATTTTCTAAATTGTTTTTATTTTTTATTTTATGCACTTTGGGATTATTCTGTATAATGAAAAGCGCTGAAAAAATGTAAGAAATTATTATTATTACTATCCACTTTAGCACATTTCGTAGTATTTACTGTATATTCGTATTGTGTATACATTTCCAACACAAATATTTTGCACTACTTTGTATTACTTATTTGTTTACATTTTTATAAAGTGTACTGCACTGTTTTGGAGAGCTTGTAAGCATTTCACTGTAGTGTTTACACCCTGTATCCTGTGCATGTGACGAACAAACTTTGATTTTCTAATGAAATATCATTGTTGGTTGGTGAATCTAATTTCTGCTTCACTTTATTGTCAGGTTTCACATGTAGTTATCACCACAACATTTCCAATAAACAGCAAAGGACTTGGTCTGTATCTCTGAGAAAAACCCTTGACAGTATACAGTAATACTCTGTTCTACTTCTTACACTTATCTAGTGTAGAAATTGGGTTACGGTCGTCATATGATTATTTATGACATGCATTGTCCATTAACTGTTTTAGTAGCTAGGTTTCCATCCAATTGTCAAAGGAATTTCATGCAAATATTTGAAATATTTCCACCAAATGCACTTGTTGCAGATAACAATCAGTGCGTGATGACGAAGTGCACACAGCATTTAATTTTTCACTCAAGTTTTCAGAATGACTGCAACAACAATTTGTTTTTCCAATGCATAGCTGCTCTTACTGACACATTTCGATCTCAATCGGTCAACGCTTGCTTTTTGGTGAGTGTGGTTTCCTTTATAGGCAATTGACCTCATAATCAGATAGGCACAGATGCAAAGACTATATTTTTGGGGAGATGCCATCACCTTTTATTTTTTACATACATTACATTCTGTCAAGATTTTATACATTTTGAAGACTCAATGTGTTCCACATGCTCCTTTCCACTGGTGTTCTTCTTTAGACATGCAGGGAAAAAAGTACCTATAGAAAGTCTACAGCCCTCTTGGATTTTTCCACATTTTATTGTGTTACAAAGTGGGATCAAAATGGATTTAACTGTCATTTTTTTGTCAACGATCTACACAAAATACTCTGTAATGTCAAAGTGGAAGGGAAATTCTCACATTTAAAAAAAAAGATTAATGAAAAATAAAACTTTGATTAGATGAGTATTCACCCCCCTGAGTCAATACATGTTAGAAACACGTTTGGCAGCGATTACAGCGGTGAGTCTTCTTGGGTAAGTCTCATAAGCGCTTTGCACACCTATATTGTGCAACATTTGCCCATTATTCGTTTCAAAACTATTCAAGCTCTGTCTGTGTTAGGGATCATGGCTAGAGAACAATTTTCAAGTCTTGCCATAGATTTTCAAGCAGATTTAAGTCAAAACTGTAACTTGGTCACTCAGGAACATTCACCTCCTTCTTGGTAAGCAACTCCAGTGTAGATTTGGCCGTGTGTTGTAGGTTATTGTCCTGCTGCAAGGTTCATTCCTCTCCCAGTGTCTGGTGTAAAGCAGACTGAAGCATGTTTTCCTCTAGGACTTTGCCTGTGCTTAGCTCCATCCCGTTTCTTTTCATCCTGAAAAACTCCCCAGTCTTTGCCGATGTCAAGCATACCCATACCATGATGCAGCTACCACCGTGCTTGAAAATAAGGAGGCAGTTATTCAGTAATGTGTTGTAACTCCCCAGTCTCCCCAGTTACTCAGTGATTTGTTGGATTTGCCCCCAAACATAAGGCTTTGCAGTTAGGCCAAAAAGTATATTCCTTTGCCGTGTTACTTTAGTGCCTTGTTGCATATACTCTAAATGCATGTTCTGGAATATTTTTATTCAGTATATCTTTATTCTTCTTTTCACTCTATCATTTAGGGCATCATTGTGGAGTCACTACAATGTTGTTGATCCATCCTCAGCTTTCTCCCATCACAGCCATTGAACTCTGTAGCTGTTTTAAAATCTCCCTTGTCTTTATAGTTGAATCTGTGCTTGAAATTCAATACTTGACTGAGGGACCTTACAGATGTTGTATGTATGGGGGACAGAGGAATGGGTAGTCATTCAAAAAATCATGTCAACCCCTATTATTTCACACAGAGTGAGTCTGTATAACTTATTATGTGATTTGTTAAGCAAAATTGTGGCATAGAACTGAATGTTCACAATGTGTAGCATGTGACACTATGGCATAACAAGAAGAAAGGCCGTAAACTTGAAATGCTTTATGTTTTCATAAGCTTGTGAGACTTTTGAGGTCAGGAACTTTTGGAATGTAACCTCTGAACAGCAATCCACAGGAAACCCAGTCACCCCTGTCAAACCAAAACGAATTCCTACTTATAGGGTAGTAACATTTTTATTTTTTATTTTATTTTATCTTATTTTATCAGGGAGTCTGTCACGGATCCCCCCGGTACTGCTGCTCATTCCGTTCACCAGTTCCGGAGGTCTACGTCACCGGCCTTCTAGGCGTCACTGACCTGGTTCATTACCACCAACCCCGGACTGTGTTGTCTCATTACGCACACTTGGTTCCCATTCCCCCTGATTAGTATGTGTATATATGTGCCCTCTATTCCCCATTGTCCTTGTCGATTATCGTCCCATGTCCGTTGGTCTCGTGAGTACCGTGTATAGTGATCTTGTTGTTTACGGGTCTCGTCCCGTGTATTGTGTAGAGGTTACACATCGCTCTTTGTTTGAGTTACATCCCTTTTGTATATATACTGTATATACGTGTTGGGTGGAGTAAATTAAACCCCTAATACGTATTCCTGCACCTGTCTTCAAGTCATTATACAACGTGACAGAGTCATACTGAGACCAAGGTCTCTTTTACAGGTGAGCCTTGAATTACATAAATTACAGAAAATACACACATCAAAATATAAATACAAAATGCAAGCAGAAGGAAAAACATTCATTAAAAACAAACATATTCATCAGTAATAAGGTCCTCAATCAGCTTTCTGAATTGCCCTAGAGGCACCAGAACATAACATTTAAGAACTGAATAATCTGCTTCCTACTATTTAGCGAGAGGCAAGACCTATTTCTCTAGAAGAAGCCCATTTTTATTCTCAGCTTCTTAACTAACTCATCAATATGCTTTTTAAAAGACAGCTTTTCATCTATCCAGATGCCCAGATATTTGTAAGCACGGACACGATCAATATGGAAACCATCCAAAATACATATGCTTAAATCATCAGACTTCTTTTTATGCGCTCTAGAGAAC